GAATTCAGTGTACCTGGTGAGCGAGGCGGTTATGTCGGAGGGATTCTCGGCATTGATCCAACCAGTTATGACAAGTCAGTAGCCAAGGATCTGGCTAGTGAATTGATGGAGGCCAACGCTGGCGGAGAGCCTCCCATCCTGACCATGGGCAAAATCCATTTACTCAAGCGTGAAGAAATAGAGCAAGATCAATGACCTAGCGTGTCACTCAACTCAATTCGCGTCCAAGCAGCATGATACCCCAGTACCAAACCTTATGAATTCATTGATAACCTTTTGGTCCAAAGCTGTGACGCAACCACACGCAGCCAATCCATCAGGTGAACGTATTGAGTTCTTTAAGCAGTCTTTTTTTATGGTGCATGCTTCGATATACTTGTGGTCTCAGCTCATCATCACTCTTAGAAGTAGCGACGCAGCCGATACAATACACGGTAGGAAAACCCCCTTCTCAAGTAATGATGCGCATACTACTCACTAGAATGTATAAGAAACATGTAGAGGGATATCATGCGTATGTAGATAATAACAGCACTAAATATGAACAACCTACTCCGGCTCCTGATGCTGCCACTGCTCCCTCAAAGTATCAACATCAACCCCACAAGCCTCGGCCTTCTTAACAATAGCCCTAGCCTTATGAGCAACAGGAACATCAATCATCTTCCCATCAAGCGTCCAAGCACCCCTCCCCGCCCTCGCAGCCTTCTCATCCGCAATAACAACCCGCATGGCCCACTCCGTCTCCACCGCATCCGGTCCAAAGATCTGATCCGCAACCTTCACCTGCGACGGATGAATACACTGCTTCCCATTGAACCCCAACCTCCGCCCATCCCGACACTCTTCCTGCAGCACATCCGGCGGCGACCCATCTGCAGACTTGTACGCCGTACAGACGAGGTCAATCGTCGAGGGCAAATCCGCTGCCCGCGCAGCAGTGGCTATCGCAGACCGCGCGAACAAGAACTCTGTCAGCGAGGGCGTCCGCGTAATACTCAGATCTAGAGCGAAGTCTTCAGCTGCAAACACCAGGCCTTGGAGTAAAGGCGAAGCAGCGCAGATCTGAGACAGGTTTGTCAAAGACTTGGCGGACTCTACTAGAGCCAGGAGGGAGATTGGTGTTCTTTCTGTTGGTGGTTGCTGAGACAGTGTGTGTGTTATGACGTCTGTGACGAATGTTAGGTCGGAGGCGGAGTTGACTTTTGGAATTACGATTGTTGTTAGATTTGGTGATTGGAGCTGGGATGGTTAGCGAGTTGAACGTTGTAAGGGCGTTGTAAGGGAGCGAGTATTTATGTGTCTGTGGGTGTGCAGGTGTCCGGAGTCCACTCACGACTTCGGTCAAATCACCCAGTGCTAGTCCGCTGTCTACGGAGTTGATTCGCACGGCGCGTTCCCGGATTCCTGGTGGCGCGGCTTGGTCGATTGCTCTCCGCACTAGTGAGCGCGCTTCTGCTTTCATGTGCGGTGTCACGCTGTCTTCTAGGTCGTAGGTGACGCAGTCGGCGGTCAGTGAGCGCGACTTGTCTAGGAAGCGTTGGGAGGAGCCGGGGACTGTTTGGCGTTGTTGGTTAGCTTGGTGTTTTTTATTTTGGAGCTCGGGTTGAAATGCGGGGAAGATGCGGGTTTCAAAGGAAGCTCGAGCCTACCATAGAGGAGGGAACGACGGAGGGTATTGCGGGCGGCCATTATGTGCTTTGCGTGTGCATTCAATGGTACAATGTTGTGTATTGTGTACTATGTTGCTTGGGGAGTGGAGGTCTTTATGGGGTTGGTTTGATCGGGAAGAAGCCGACTCGGCTATCCGTAAAGCCGCTTTGGTATGTCTCACGTAGTTGGAGAGTTGATTTCTTTTCTGATTTTCTTTTGAATTGATGGAATTTATGATATTTTATATAATTAGCTATTTCCACTATGCTTATAGGTAGTTTGTTAGATCGGAAACTTGGTATAAGGACTGTTTGTTTCGTCATTCTCACTAAGCTTGATCTAACTACATTTTCGCAAATAAATGCATCTCCCACATTCTATCAAATTGCTGTCACTATGTACACCAGGCTGGCAATATTATCCAATAAAAGAGTTAAGTTCCAATGGCATTTCGTCGTAGTCGCAGTGCTCCAGATCCTTTACTACAACCCAACGTGAATATATAGAAGAGTTGGATCATTTCAACCCTACTATCTAACAAACAATCAACAATCACTTAATCTATAACAAACAATCAAACTCCAATAGGACAATCACTTAATCTATAACAAACAATCAAACTCCAATAGGACGATCTATTATCATACCCTCCATCATCTTCCTCTCTTTCCCACTATCAATTCAATCATCATTCTTTCTTCTAATTACCCTATCTCAAGAAGGAAGATGCCTTGATCCGAGGATGGGCTATGGAGGTTCGAGATGTCAACCAAAGTTTGAGGAATCATTCCGATCCCAGAGTCCGAGAAGTATAGATCCAAGGATTTCGAAAACTCCAGGAGGCTGGTATGAAACGCGATCGTTCCCGTGTAGATCAAGTTGTGTAGTCATCGTTGCAAATCTTTCGTGTAGTAAGCAAGTGTGGCCGAGTGGTTAAGGCGCTGTGTTTAGGTATTCATTGATTTATGTCATGATTACATAATCCGCAGTTCTAACGAGCGTGGGTTCGAATCCCACCGCTTGCATAACTTTTTTTGGCTGTCTAGCATTGGATTGATTGGTGTTGACGAGGAACAGATAGTAGGTGAAATCGGAGATACCATAGTGAGTGCCCCCGCCACCAAGGTAACAAACCATATTGAAGAATTTTTTCCTACTTTCCGCCAATAGGAAGCTTGATGAAGCATACATCTTTTACTGCACCTGAGGGTTCTCTTTCCTCAAGCCAATCGGAATAGGATATGTATTCCATTTTGATCGAGCATGGACATTATGATCAATTTCTTTCTTTGGAAATATGTCCACACAGCAATATAAAACGGCTTCAATTATTCATCTTTGTTTATGTGAGCCAACATGCCTTCCGAGGTCTAGAGATTGGTGTAGTGTAGTCGAGAGTTGGTATTTGAACCACCATAGTTCCCTGTAATTCATACCTATATCTGTACTTCATAATCCGCCTCGAATACTGCGATGTTACTTCTGTACTGTGGTCTGTGATTTGAGGTTTTGTATAGATCAAACTTTGTGTCTTATCGGCTTAGCGCCACATACGTTGGACATAAATAACTGCACGTGTGGCTGACTGGTATCCACTCAGTGTAATCACGTGAAATACTTTTGGGACTGTTAATTGTATAGAAGTAGGAGTAATGACCAGATATACTTATACACACTCTTTAACGATCTGAAAATAACCCAGCTTTCTATGACATGCTAGGTAGATTGCAGGCGTTGGCTAAGCAATCATCAACAAATCCACCTGGTCTATGCTTCTGCTTTAGCTTTGATTATTCTGCCATATAACACCGCCTATACCCGTGTTTCGACCACATAGGGATCATCATCAGTCAACAACAGACTCAGCTTGGATTAAATTGACCCAATCTGCTGACCGAGAGGTCCTTTACATCCAGACCACATCAAACCCTCCACCTTGAAAATCATGGAACAAGGACAAGGAGGCCAAGGCGACCTCAACTGGCGCCTCAGCGCGCACCCGATCACGCTACTTGTCTTCTTGGGCATTCGGATCGGTTCGTACTCACCTACCCCGAGTAACAGCGGCAAGAATGACTTTATTAACGTGATTATTAGGTGCACTACTGATGTATCTATTTGGTGTACTCTTCATCGATGACTTGTACGGACCCTGCGTTGAACTACCCGCTTCTCAACCTGCGATGCTAACGTCCATCTAGTATCCTCGTCTTCATTTTCACCCTTCTCCTCCTCTCCGCGGATTTCTACTACCTCAAAAATATTGCGGGACGCCGGCTGGTCGGCCTACGTTGGTGGAACGAGGTCGACACCTCGACCGGCGACTCGCAGTGGGTCTTCGAATCATCCGACCCCAACGTTCGCACTGTAACAGCCACAGACAAGCGGTTCTTCTGGCTGAGCTTGTATGTCACACCTGCTCTGTGGGTGGGACTTGCGATATTGGCCATTGTGAGACTTGTCGGTGTTATTTGGCTCAGTCTGATCGGTAAGTTACCTCCAAGATACTTTGATATATACCGGCGCGAGGTATTGACTTTGATTTAGTTATTGCGCTCATCTTGACTATCACGAATACCATGGCCTTCTCTCGCTGTGATAAGTTTGGCCAGGCCTCCACATATGCTAACTCGGCTCTGGGTGGTGGTATTGTGAACAACATCGCTGGTGGCCTGCTGGGCAGGCTATTCCGGTAATGGTAGACAGGTTTCTGTCTTGCCGTTAGTGGTCCTATACCATCGGTTTTTTTGCATGTGCTCTGTATTTCTAGCGGAATATTTGACCACTTACCATTCAAATGCATGCAATTTCTTTTCAAAATATGGAATATCATCTGTAGCACTAATGTGATTGAGCACCCAGTCTAGTGTAAGTTGCTTTCGAGATGAAGCAGTTGCCTGAGGCAGGTCAACACATCGCTCCTTCCTCAAACAGGTAGTTTCCACTCCAGCGTCACCTACCGATTATGTTTGCGTTCCTTTTCCTCTTCCCTCTTCCCTCTTCCTCTTCTTTTTCTTCCCACCCCCTCTTCGTTCAATCGTCATCAGTTTCTCGCGTCCACTAGGCATCGAAAAACACGCTGGTAAGTGTCGTTTTTGGCGTTGACCTTGCACCGTCTCAATGATAGCGCTTGGAAGAGTGATCCACGTGAAAAGATCGTGTTTCGATTCTCCTGGGTGATCTTGTTCATCTGTCTCTTCTGCCTTCTCTCACACCTCCCTGCCCTCCCCCCCCAAGTCATTTTTGGCTTTCGCGCTTCCATCCTTCACCCACATGGAGGGATTCTTTCACAATGACAAGTGTGGTGGTTACTCTGGCTAACACGCGTTTTTGACCAGTCGGCCACAATGGAGACCAATATCCATGGAGCCCGAGACGATGGCTTCACCTGCGAACAGTGCGTTATCCCCTCCAATATTCTAGCATTCCCAGCTCGGGAACTTCCCCTAAGAACTTCAGTCACTTACAAGCTCAAGGTGTGGTGAATCTGGCCACATGACTCGGCAGTGCCTGAATGAATCGGTTACTCTGAGACCCAGAAACAGCAATGCAGAGTAAGTTGTTCCTGCGCTTTCCATATCATATTGTGCCTGGTTATCTAATCAATGCTGCAATATAGCGATTCTTACGGAAAGTACAACGACGGCAATGGCGGTGGATATGGTGAATACACCGGTAGTGGTGACCGCGCCTGCTACAACTGTGGCCAGGGGGGTAAGTCGTTGAACTCCATGTGCTTGCTTGATTATACTGACGGCAATGCAGCCATAGCAAAGCTGATTGTCCCGAGCCTCGCAAGGGCGGTGGCGCATGCTTCAACTGTGGCCAGGAAGGGTGAGTTATTGTTGAACATATTGTGTGCTATGTCTCTAATTGTTCTCTTGAAACAGTCACTCCAAGGCCGAATGCACTGAGCCTCGCAAGATGGGTGCTTGCTTCAACTGTGGTGAAGAAGGGTGTGTTTTTTTGGGACATCGCGTGTGTTACGACGTTAATTGTTTTCTTGAAACAGTCACTCCAAGGCCGATTGCCCCAAGCCCCGCGTGTTCAAGGGCACCTGCCGTATCTGCGAAAAGGAAGGTCACCCCGCTGCTGAATGTCCCGAGAGACCCCCTGATGTTTGCAAAAACTGCCAGGCTCAAGGCCACAAGACGCTGGAGTGCAAGGAGAATCGCAAGTTCGACCTCAACCTCGTTGCTGACATGCTTCCCCATGAAGGTTGGGCTGCAATGAAGAAAGCTAGTGACGAAAGGGATCTTGATGATTTCCGCGAGGTACTAGGAATCCATACGTATCTTGAAAGGTTTGGGCTTTGGCTAACCTAACACCAGGCGCTCAAAATCTACTGCAAGGCAGTTCCCCACGCCACCTGGGCTGATATCGAGAAGAAGATGCGGGAGGATGAGTTCAACATTTACATCATTGCTATGGTAATCAATCATTGTCGTTTTGATACTCAGGGATGAATTACTCATGATATTTTACAGGAGACTGAAGTTGACGACGTGATGAGCCTTATCGATCTTCAAGGAGTGCTTGATCGTGAGTATGTGATTGGTTTCTTTTTTAGCCCCAAGGCATCGCGTGGCCACCTCCGAGACCGTTGGCCTGCGGATGCCGAGGAGAACCTCGAACGTATGAACAACGCCGGTATTCCCTATGAGCGCAAGGTCCCAAAGTGTCTGAACTGTGGAGGTAAGTGTTTACTTTAACTACAGATCTCTCGGTATGTTACTAAACCACCCTACTTAGAGTTGGGACATATCTCGCGCAGTTGCAAGGAGGAGCGCGTGGAGGGCAACGAGCGTGTGGAAATCAAGTGCTCAAACTGTGGTGAGGTTGGACACCGCGTGCGCGATTGCAGACGGCAGCGCAAGAACAAGCATGGTTGCCGTAACTGCGGGTATGTGGTTGTGATACAAACAAGAAAGTGAATAATGCTGACTTTTGTGAAGATCTGCTGAGCATATTGCTTCTGATTGCACCGAACCCCGATCTGCGGATGGTGTTGAATGCCGCAAATGCAACGAAAGTATGACAAGATCTCAACCACGATGATTCATATATTTCATGATGAGCTAATATATCTGTTTCAGCTGGCCATTTCGCCAAAGATTGCCCCAATGTTGCTGATCGTGGCCCTCGTACTTGCCGCAATTGCGGGTATGTCAAAATATCACAACCGGAGCTCTGGAATTGTCGCTGGTTCTAACATAAATGCAGATCTGAAGACCACATCGCTCGCGATTGTGACAAGCCTCGCGATGTTTCCACTGTCACCTGCCGCAACTGCGAGAGGAGTAAGTGTGATGCACGCCCCGAATACTTCCCTTTTCTTCGGCCATGAAACAGAACTGACAACTGTTTTAGCCGGACATTACTCTCGTGATTGTGATCAGCCGAGAGATTATTCGAAGGTTCAGTGCAAGAACTGCGGAGAAGGTGAGTTGATCATACACACGTTCTTAACATGATTTCGTGCGCTAACAACCCTTTAGTGGGTCACACCGTGGTCCGTTGCCGTAAGCCCAAGGAGGAGGAGCCTCAGGACAAACCCACTTACTCTCCTGGCTCTCCCAAGCGTGAAGAACCCGATCTGCTGGGCCCGGAGGCCAGCGAGCAGCCGTTCCAATACAAGCGTGTGGACGATGATGACTTGTGGTAAACACTACAATGCGATGCGAAAAACGGGTGACTGGGATTCCCTTTCTCCGTTTATGATCGGCGCTATGCGGGGCTTGGTTTTGACTGTTCTTGGGATGCCTCACGGTAGCCCAGGATGGACAATAACCTGGTATCACATATGGGGTCTCTCCTTGCTCGTAATTCTCGGTTTTTTTTTTCCAAATCTTGCGATGTGTTTGATGTTAGCCAGTGATTCTACCCAGGAGTTTTACAATGATTGCTGACCGGCCGATGGTTTCGAAAGGAGGATGTTAAGCACTTTCAGGCTCTGTTGAGCTCGACTTGGTTTTGACACGCCTCTGGATGGGCTTGAGGATGGAGGGTCTGGGCAGGAGGCTCTGATCTGGGGACATTGCTGACGTTCATTGTTATCTGGCTGGCAAGCTCATTTTCAATGAAACATCTATTTAGTTCATTCTTGGCTCATTGTAGACTGGAGTAGTTGTAGTACCGAAATTAGTGGATGACGGCACCAAGTCTGAACTGAACCCTAAGAAACCAGGTACAATGTGTGATGATTCTGACTTTCGGCATTCCTTAGTTCGGCTTGATTTAATTTTCCGTCGGCTCTAGCAAGCCGGTTTACGAGTTGAATGTTTGTATGGCATGATTCCCGATGTCATCAAACCAAGCACTTCCACGTCGATCGCCTTAATTTCTTACTAGGTCAGGGATGTGAGTATTTACCATACCGGGATGTACTGTGGGCCGAATTCGGGATTCCGTGCCCTAACTGGCTCTCTTTGCTTAGACTAGACTGGCACACATTGTCATTGGAAGTCCAGACTCTGATGGATGATCAATAGCGCATAGCAGAGACATAAATTGTAATGGGCACAGCCCACATCGGGAATGCACTTGTGAGGGACTTTAATTGGAAGGGGTCTCATAGCCATGGAAATATTGCATTGAGTAATAATTATTTCCATTGCCATTTTACCCCATACTTAACTATGGTAGACATTCAACACGATTGGGTTGCATCGTGTAAATACAAAGTACAAAGTATGTACATAAGTTGATACATCACTGGGCATCCGAATCGGGCATCCCGTCGGGGAACCCCGTGCTTCGGCTTGCGCCGACTTGCCGATTTTGTAGAGTATACTAGTAAAGCCTAGTAAAGACTCTGAAAACCAGTTATCATTTACAAACTGCTCTCTATTTTGCCCTCTTTTTGGTTAGATGATGTCATCAGTGGCTTCGGCTATAGCCGGTCAAACCGGCTGAGGTTTTCGGGACCTGATGCCATCTCGGTGCGGCTGATTAGGTTATACCCCTTGTATCCCTGCCAAGTGTGCTTGGCTTAAAGAAATTATCTGTGAAAAGGAGCAATTGTAGTAATCTGAGTCAGTACGTTGTCTACCTAGGGGTAGTCTCTTCCAGCGAAGATCGGCAAAGAATGGAGTCCGGGGGTAATGGAGACCACAGAATCTCCAGGTTTTTGTAATGTAAATACTCTCTTCAACCCCACTGTGAAACATTTGAACATCCAAAAAGTACCTTGAACCACGTGAGATTCTGTGCACTGTGCAGCTGTCATACACTCCATATTATCGACGGAAACAGACTTGGGAACATGAAAGTGCTCTCAACTTGGTGAACATTATAAAGGGTACAATACCGGACGAATCCCGACTTGGCCATGCGCCCCTCGCATGGCCTGCACCTCTTACACGCCGATTTGCCCGGTGGATCCCGTGAAAAAAAAAAAAACCTGGAGGGATACCGATCATCTCGGCCACGGGGTACAGAGGCTCGTTCCTCCCGATTGGGTGGTATACATCACCAATGTGACGTTGTTTTTCATTGGCTTGCTGGATTTTGATTTGTACTCCAGAAACCTGCGAGATGTGGATACCACCTCCTTGTTTGATTCTGGGGTTCATAAGTCTGGATTTCCCCGGACCTGTTGAGTTGGATCTTCTTTTCTCTGCTTAATCTATTATACATCTTCTGGTCCTGGCGAATAGTCGGACTATCTTTCTTTTTAGGGCTTGACCATATATAGCCTGTTCTGTTCTGCAATCTGCAACCTATATAACATAACCGTCATCATGAAACCATATTTCGGCCTTCGGGGCACGAACCTGAATATCATGATCGGTGTTATTGCTGGTCTTGATTTCTTGTATGTCTGTCAATCTCTACTCATAAGGACGCAGGGCTAATGTGGAATTACACAGGTTATTCGGATACGACCAGTATGTCATCGAAAGCTATACATGAGAAAGCTAGTGTATTTCTCTTGCTAACAGCAACAGAGGTGTTATGGGAGGTCTATTGACATTGAACTCATTCGTTACGGTCTTCCCCGAAATCGACACCACGAAACCAAATCCATCGGGGGGCAGCAACTCGACTACACAGGGTATGCAACTTCACCGCAACTTCACCGCAACTTCTATTCATATACTAACTGATTAGGAATCACCATCGCCTCTTATAATTTGGGCTGTTTCTTCGGCGCAATCTTCTGTATCTGGATTGGAAACTACCTTGGTCGTCGTAAGACGATTTTCGTCGGCTCCGTCATTATGGTGATCGGGGCTACGCTACAGGCCTCTGCTTTCTCGCTGCCGCATCTCATTGTCGGTCGTATTATCACCGGTATCGGCAACGGCATGAACACTTCTACCGTTCCTACATGGCAGTCTGGTAAGTATTTAGCTCTATTAGCAAGTAGATACGATGCTAATACTACATAGAATGCTCCAAAGCCCACCACCGCGGAAAACTTGTCATGCTCGAGGGTTCCTTGATCGCTGCGGGAATCACAATCAGTTACTGGCTTGATCTTGGATTCTCCTTCCTTGACCCTAGCTCCGTTTCCTGGCGTTTCCCAATCGCCTTCCAAAACGTCTTTGCACTGGTCATCTTAATCTTCGTGCTGCCGCTGCCCGAATCCCCTCGCTGGCTGATTCTCAAGGGCCGCGAACAGGAAGCTTTGGATGTCCTCGCTGCTATTCTAGACTTGGATGAGAATGACCCCTACGTCCACTCGGAATTTGCAGCTATCAAGGATGCAGTCCTAGCTGCATCGAGTGTCAGCTTCCGTGACTTGCTCACTATGGATGAGAACCGCCACTTCCACCGTGTTGTACTTGCCTACGTCAACCAGATGTTCCAGCAGATCTCTGGTATCAACTTGATTACCTACTACGCTGCTTTCATTTATGAGAACTCTCTTGGTATGGATGGCCTGACATCGCGCATTCTAGCTGCCTGCAACGGCACTGAATATTTCTTGGCATCTTTGATTCCCATCTTCATTATTGAGAAGGTGGGTCGACGAGTGCTAATGTTGATCGGTGCCGCTGGTATGTCAATTTCAATGGCCGTGTTGGCCATCACCACTAGCTTTGAGCGCGAGAGCAAGCCTGGTATTGCCGCTGCCGTGTTCTTGTTTGTCTTCAACACATTCTTTGCCTTTGGCTGGCTGGGAATGACCTGGCTGTATCCCGCTGAGATTGTAAGACTTTCATCCTTTTTATTCTTTTGCACCAAACCACTAACAATGCAATAGGTGCCTCTACGCATTCGTGCTCCTGCTAACGCACTTGCAACCTCGGGTAACTGGATCTTTAACTTCATGGTTGTCATGGTCACACCTGTTGCATTCGACACTATCAAGTACAAGACATATATTATCTTTGCTGTCATGTGAGTATATTTTGCGCAAAATGGAATTGGTGCATGACTAACGCGATTCCAAATAGTAATGCATTCATCTTCCCCGTTGTCTACTTCTTCTACCCCGAAACCGCCTATCGATCCCTGGAGGAGATGGACACAATCTTCCACAAGACAACCAACATCTTCGATGTCGTCTCAGTCGCCCGCAACGAGCCCCACCGCTATGGTAAGAAGGGCGAGCTTCTCATCCACTACGAGGAGACTGAGGAGCACCTGCGCCGTGCTAGCTATGTTCCAGAGAAGAAAGTCAAGCTGGCTAATGAGACGGACGATGTGGAGACTGGAAAGGGTACACATGTTGAGCACCGCAAGGACAGCTCGTCTGATAGTGCATAGTGAAGCCTTTTGAGAAGGCAGATTCTTATTTCATTCTAATAAACATTTTTCTGTTGTTAACCAACGACTCAGTATCGATCTCAAATACTGGATGGGTATTTCGTAAATTATGGCATACATTCATTAAGTATTGCATATTATAGAAACATCATGTAGGTCAAAGGCATCAACGACAGAACTCAGCCACAAATGGCCCTAATCACAACCTGCCCTAGCTGTTTACAGCCCAAAGGCCAAACCGCCAACCACAGCAACCAAGACAGCAGCCAGGATGCCAGTCCCACTAACTCCCACACTCACTGCAGCACCAACGCCTGGATCCAATGAAGCCCCCCCAGTTATTTCATCTGTTACATCATTCGCAGCTCGAGCAGTAGCAGTAGCACTCGTCGACAACGTAACAGGCTCCGACGAGCTTTTAAGTGAAGTCGCCGAGTAAGGAGGGAAGTAGGTATAACTAGACGACCTATCCTCGAGCGAAGACGTCGCCACCGCACTATTCGTCGCATAAACAGACCAGACAGTGCGAGTACTCGTCCTGGTAGAAGTAACTGTCTGAACAGTGTACGGAGCAAAAGAAGTCCAGTAATAGAACCAATAAGTCCTATAAACTATATCAGCAAAGCCATCCACCAACCAAAACCGATGAACATACCAGTAGATAGTCGTATAATAATAATCCCAATCAACCCGAACATAAGTCGTAGTCGTCGCCTCCGTGGTAGTCGTCGACGTAACATCCGCTGTAAGCGTATCCCCAGACCCAATCCCATCATCAGATCCAACCCCGTCATTCTCCCCAATACACCCATTCAACGAACTACAGCAAACCTTCTCCCCCTTCCAGATCCGACACTTCTTCCCAACACGGCAATAGTACCCATCCGAACAACATTCTCCACCGAGCGGCGCACACCCATCCGTCCCCTCACAACACTTAAATCCAATAGGACATGTTCCGCCGTCTGTGCAGCAGGTCTCGCCAATCGTCGCGCAGAACCCATTGCCACAGCACTTCTTGCCGATACTACAGCAGCGGCTTGTGTCGTATTGGCATTCAGCGTAGCCGATTCCGCATGTTAGCTCGCGTGTGTTGAGACTTGGGTTCTCGCCGAAGAGGGAGAAGGCATCGTCTGTGTTTAGGCGCGAGACGTTGGAGAAGAGTTGAGGTTCGTCTTTATCGATGGTTGTGCTTGTTACTAGGTTTGCGAGGAGGAGGGAGAGGGCTAGGATTGTGAAGGAGGGGAGTGGGAGGAGCATTTTGGCGTTACTCTGTATAGAGTGTGAGTAGGTGAATATGTGATGTTGAATGATACCCTTGTTTTGCTCCTTTAGAAAACATAGGATTTGGGGCGGAAATGTGAATTTAAGTCACCGTCTCCACCTTGGGAAATTGCTACATTGATGCGGCTCAGTGTAAAATAAATATTCACCAAGATAGGCTGTTTAAGGTTGCTGTTCGTATTCGGGGGTCTTGGGGGGGGAACATGTTACCTGTGGTGGTTAGAGTTGTTGTTTGTAAATACGAGGTGGTGCCCGCTTGGCATGGACTCGAGCCGCTTTTTGGGATTGATATACGGGGTTCTCGCTTTATGCGACCTAGAAAAGGAAAGGGGGGACCGCGCTAGACATTGGGCATTGATGCTAGGCTGATTTCTTGTCAATAATGTAAGTGTGAAGGGTCTAGAGGTGTTCTTGGCTTTAGGGCTTAGCGACCCCTCGTGATAGCGTTCTACTTTATTTGGTTAGACTTGGATGCTCGGTTCTTTGTTGAGAATTAGACCCTGTCTATCCCGTTGGATCAATTTGAATTAATTTGGTCTGTTCCGGATACCCCTCTGGTGGCAGAGTTTGAGGTCTTTTATTGGAGGTTGAGGTTGTGAAGAGGATACGGAGTTATCTCCCGGATATCCTTTCCTTCATGTCCATATGACTACATAATACATATTATCTTCGACAATGCATGCCTAGTAAAGAAACATAGAAACACAAGTAGCATCAAAGTACACGACGAGTGTAGTAAAGCAATCTGTACCTAAGCCAGCCCTGGCACTCAACCTTCCCGATCCTCCACACTAGATCATGCACACCATTTTTGTATTTTCCGGCGGGGACTCTATTGTTTCATTCTTGGGCTTTTGGTCGTATTCGAAATGGGATTTTCTTTTCTCTTTTTGACTTGTGAGTATGCAGGAGGTAGATCGAAGCCAAGGAAGCCATGGTGGAAGATTCCGGCGCATCTCGCGCATCTCAAGAAGAGTTGGTGTCTTCAAGAATATCCTTCTTTCCTTGATATTTATTACTGGGTAGCTCCTGCTTGTCTTCGTCTCTTCGACACTCTCATTCCTTCCCAAATGGTCCTCAGTGAGTAGTTCCTGCTAGTTATCGACATTTTCTTTCTTTCCCTGTGCGATAACCTGTTCCCCTGCGGCTTTCCAGGCCCTCGGAAATTATACTCTCCATATCTCTTTGGCCTCTTGAGCAACGTATGGACGCTCGACCGGAGGCTTCCAGTTTCTCTCGTCCATCACATCAACTCTTGTTTTGCCCTTGGGAGTCATCTCAGCACTGCCTTTTCCCGGAGAATTGGGCGAAACCGTCAAATTCATCAAATAGTACTTTCTGCCGGTAGTGCGGATTCCACTTCCACGTCCAACTTGACTAGGGTCCTCGTTGGGATGTTTGACCGGGCTCGACTTGTTTTGGTCATCGATGGTTTGCGCGGCAAATCTTACTAGCTTTGGGGGCACGGTTTCTTCTTCTGACTTGCCGCCATGCCGGATTGGAGCCTCTTTGCGCGTGTTCTGATTAGGGCGGACGGATAAAAGGTCGGGAGGTCTGTCAGTTTGAGGATCTGTCACGATTTCTTCCCATGCGGTGGTAATGAAGGATACGGTTGAATGGCCTAAACTTCCTTTGATTCGGGGACTAAGAAGAACTAATTCGCGTAGTCTGCCAGCTGGGAGCTTAGAGCAAACGACGCAACGTATGTCGGCTCCGGGGGCGATCACGATTCCCGCGGCTTTTGAAGACATCTTGAGTGGATAAAGGATGTAGGACTTTTAAGTGATATTGTGGTTGCAGATGACTAGATTGTAACTGTAGAAGTGCTCAATAAGAGTGGTGTCGGGCACTGCAGTCTGGGTGGTTGCTGGGACCCAGGCGGCTGGCGCGGTGGGAAATGTCTTGGGACAAGCTCACAGATGAGACTGATAGGGAGTAATGAGTAATGACACGATACTAGAGTTGGAGATCAAAAAAGCAAAGATTATTTAAAGAAAACAGGGGGTACGCAGAGAGGTGACTGTGGATTGACATGTCAATATAGTGGACGTGACGACTCCAGGTAAACAAGATGAAAGGGTGGCAATCACTCAGACCTCTGAGCTCCGACTTTTAGACACGCCTTTGGAGGAGACAATATATCAGCTTTCATGTGAAAGTTGAGAGGTAACAGCAGATGAAAAGGTGAAGCGAAGGAAATAAAACAAACGCACGCTAGGATCCGATATGGCAGCTATCAGTTGGCCAATATAGGCAAATAAACGAGATAATATACCTTCCTTTTTGTTTTTGCCTTCATGTGTCTTGCCTTGGAATATCAGATATGCCACTCTTGGCCTTAGGCATCAACATCTATAGACATACACACTCTTCTGGTATAGCACATTATTAGCTACCATAGTACCTTGATCCAAGTCTATCTCTTGCGCATATTGACAGTGCTAATTATAACTATTTTCAATAAGCCTTTGAAGCTTTCATCCTTTGACGTGTACATCGAGCCCTAACTTCACCCGATTGGGATATTAGATCGAGCACGTGATAACCCCGAGACCGGCAAGCCAGAATGATGATGATAATGAGAATACATAAAAAAGATAACTTGAATTTTAAGAATTGCAATTGCAGTAGTTCTGAGTCATTTCTTGGCAAAATATTTCGACTTGGATATGCCACATGGTATGGGCCATTGGTATGTAGCATTCTGACAGCTTCTGACAGCTTCTGACAGCGGGTAGCTCTGTAAAGGACCATATCCCAAGTAATATACTATAGAAATAAAAACAATACAGCTTATACATAAGATCCATATAAGGTAAGGATAGCCTCGGGAAAAAGGATTAAGGTTATCCTCGGTGAAGAGCTCGTTGGGGGAAAAAAACACCGAAAGATTTTCAACCTCTTAATCTCAACCTCATAATCTCAACCTCAACAGGGATTGTTTAATCTCAGATGCTTGGACTTATGAGTCACGCGATTCGGTGTATAATCTGACTATAAAACTCCTTTTATATCGGGGACTTGAATGATCAGTGTTTTTCTCCGCCAAGATCCACCCCCTCCCTTTATCAGATCCGCAAACGGATTCTTCCTTTCTTCGGGCATCAACGGGCTAAAACTCTCAAGCGTATGTTTACTTCTCCATGACCTCGGCAAAGGGTTTAACCTTTATGAAAATCGAAATATACATGAATTTCACTAACTCGAAATTCACAGAACACACTTGGCACTGCTTTTAGCCAACTTTGACACAGTCAATTGACTGTTTGCCTGCAAAGAGGCTAAAAACATCTATACACATATAATAAAAGATGTCCGAACATCAAAATGCCTCTGTCAGTGTTGACAAGCATCCCGTCTCCGAGGCTATCTCCGAGCAACCAAAAGCGCCTCAAAGCCAAACATCCTCAGACGAAGTCGAAGTCGAAGAGGACCACAGCGTAGCCAACATCGAACGAATCTACAGGTGAATCGCATCTCCAAGAAAAACCTCAATATCAAAAATCCGGTATCAAAATCTAACATCCAATCGCAGAAAACTGGACCGTCGCATCATCTCCGCATTCTGGGTCCTCTACTTCCTATGTTCAGCCATCCGCTCGAACGTAGGCCTAGCACAGACAATGAACACAGACAGTGGCCACGACCTCGCAAGCGTGCTCAATCTATCCCGACACCAGATCTCAACCGGTCTCGCCCTCTTCTACGTCTGCTACGTGATCTTCGACCTCCCCTCAAACCTAATCATGACCCGCTTAAGCCCCCACGTCTGGATGAGCCGCATCGTGATCAGCGTAGGCTTAATCGGAAGTTGTCTCGCCGCAATGAAAGCAGCATGGAGTTTCTAGTACGCATCCCCCATCCCCATCTCTATCTATATCCAATCTAACAAATCCAGCCTCCTCCGCCTCCTCCTCGGTATCGTCACAGCAGGCATGTGGCCCGGCATGACATACTACCTAACCCTCTTCTACCCCCCTCCCGCATCGGCAAAAGAATCGGCCAATACTTCACAGCCTCCCAAGTCTCCGCCGCAGTCGTCGGCCTCGTCTCAGCCGGCTTCCAAAAAATGGATGGCGCACACGGCCTCGTCGGCTTCCAATGGATGTTCCTGATCTACGGCGTCATCACTGTAGCCCTGGGCTTCGCCTTGCTATGGTGGTTACCAGATAGACCCACGCCTCCAGGCGAACCCGCGCCCAAACGCGCTTGGGTAATGCGCTGGGTGCCTGCCACCACGCCCGCGCTGACAGGTGCCGACGCCGTCGTGCATTACCATGATCTGAAGCGTGTTTATCACTCGTCTGCATGGACGCTGCGGGATTTGCTTGCGGTGTTTTTGGATTGGAGACTTTATCCGTTGTTGATTATGTATTTTGGTGTTGTGGGTGTTGGGATTGGTGTGCAGTTGTATGCGAACTTGATTATCAAGGCTATTGATCCGACTTTGAGTGATGTTTCTTTGAGTTTGTTGACGGCTCCGATTTGGATTGTATGTTTTCCCATCCCCCGGTTTTTCCTTATCCCCTTCCTCATATTTCTGGCTCTCTTTCATCCGCTAACACATCACAGATGGATCTCATCGCCATCCTCCTCGTGACGCCCCTCTCGGACCGCTTCCACCGCCACCGCGCAATCTTCTTCTCAATCCCCGTCCTCCTCCAAATCCTCGGCCTCCTCCTAACAAGCTACGCCGGCACAGATGCAAATCCCTGGCCCCGCTACGGCGGCCTCCTAATCGTCGGATTCGGTCTCGGTCCAACAGTCCCAATAACAATGACCTGGACAACAGAGATATTCCAACCCCGACACGGCGAGCTGGGCGTAGCTGCTGCGTCGGCTGTTGTCTCCGGTCTCGGTAACCTGGGCAGTATCCTCACGACATATGCGCTGTATTCAGGATGGCAGAGTGACTACGAGGCCCCGGGTCGCGCGAAATATAGAAAGAGTAACCTTGTCATGATTGGCATTCTGGCAGCGAGTATTCTCTCTGCTGCGCTTATGGAGGTTATGTTGAGATTTGTTGATGGACGATATTCGGAGGATGATGAGGCGGTTGATGGGGCTGGTAGGAGGGAGGTGAGGCAGCGTGGGTTGCATGGGTTGGGGGCTGGTGTTAGGCGTTGGTTGAAGCGTGGGAAGTTGATTTCTGCGTAGACTTGTGTGTGTGGATGTGGTCGTGGTGTGACGGTAAAAGTGTTATATTTCTCTAATTTTGTTGCTTGTGTTGTGTGGACTTTTATAGAACTATAGAAGGGAGCGAATACGATCTAATTTTGGGTATGGTTTTGGGAATTTCCTGCGTCAAGGAAAAATTGGTCAATTGAATGCAGTATTCTAAATCCATGCTTCTTGGGAGGTCGTGTTCGGGTATCTGAGACTGTCATACACTCCCTCTATAAAGGGGAAGATACTAGAATGTCATACTAGATTGAGTTCAAGATCCTTGCTTCACCATCTGAGATACCCGATCTAGGTAAGACCAATGACCAAAGGAGTACTTAGAAAAGTACAAGAGCTCAATTGTTAAAATGTTGGCTCAGACATGAAAATTACTCCGAGAAGATGTAGGTCAGTGCAAAGGTTGGAACTTGGTATTAATTGTCGATTCTCCAGAGGAACGATATCAAAATGATATCTCTCGATAAACGATGGTGTGGTTTTCCATCCATGAATATTCTATGCTATTGTACGTGTCACATTACCCAATGAAGGGTAGTCGAGAGAAACAGAAAAAAAGTAAAAAAAAAGTGCGGCTGGTGCAACGAGGGAGGGCCAGCAGGAACGCAATATAGGCGGACACTGGTACCGGGAGAAAGAAAGGATAGAACATGAGAAGAAAGACAGGAGGAAGAGAGAGAAAAAAGACAGATCACAGAGCATCTATAGGGGCTCCCTCACGCAGTCAGGCCGCTCTGGTCCGACTCCCAGGTTGACGCCGAGGGTATCGGAGCGCTAAGACCAAATGATTCCTATTTATTTAGAGGCCACCACACATAGTCTCAACGATGATACCAGTGATCTGGTAGGGATCAGCGTTGGACGCGGGGCGACGATCCTCAAAGTAACCCTTGCCGTCCTTGGCACACTGGCGGGGGATACGGATGGAGCCACCACGGTCGGCAACACCGTAAGAGAACTTATCGATGTTACCGGTCTCGTGGCGACCGGTGAGACGCTCCTCGTTGCCCTCACCGTAGACGGCGATGTGCTCAACGTGGCGGGCCTCGAACTTCTTCATGGCGGCCTCAATAACCTTCATACCACCATCGGCACGAGTGGCGTTGGTGGAAACGTTGGAGTGAAGACCGGCACCGTTCCACTCACCCTTGATGGGCTTGGGCTCGAAGGAGATGCGGACACCGAACTCCTCAGCGACACGGTGGAGAAGGAAACGGGACATCCAGAGGTGATCACCCACTGAAGAATAGTTAGTAAATATTCGATTACAGGGATTTGGGATGTGTAAACTTACTATCGATGCCGGGGCAGGGGCCGACCTGGTACTCCCACTGAGAAGGCATGACCTCAGCGTTGATACCGGAGATGTTGATACCGGCGTACAAGCAGGCACGGTAGTGAGCCTCGACGATATCACGGCAGTAGACCTTGCCGGTACCGACACCACAGTAGTAGGGACCCTGGGCACCGGGGAAACCGCCACGGGGCCAGCCGTAAGGCCATCCGTCAGTGCCGAGGAGAGTGTACTCCTGCTCGAGACCGAACCAGAAGCCCTCGCTGGCGTTGGTCTCCATCAGGCGGTTGGCTTCGTGACGGTAGTTGAACTTGTTGGGGCTTCCATCGGCATCCCAGGTCTCGCAGAGGACGAGGATGTTGTCACCTTGGCGGAAGGGATCGGGGTAGTAAGCGACGGGGCGGAGGTAGACATCGGAGTTGTCACCGGGGGCCTGGTTGGTGGAGGAACCGTCAAAGTTCCATTCAGGAAGCTCATCAACACTTGTGACGGGCTTGAAAAGAGTCTGTGAACGATTCCGGTTAGTCGAGTTCCAAAGGAGCGCTATCTCACGTGACAGCGGGTGGCTGCGTCTCGTGCTAAATCCAGAATCCCCGTGCACAGGGCTTATCGAAGCCCGAGAGAGGACCCCAGGTAAGAGCATGCAGCGAGTCCACCTGGGCACAGTGTAGATAAAAATCGATTGAGATGAGTCATACCTTTGTCTTGGAGCGAGTGCCACCGTTGGAATCAATCCAAACGTATTCAGCCTGAACGCGACCACGTTGGTCAAGGTTCATGTACTTCATGAGCTGTTTCCCATGTCAAGTCAGTATATGTCATTCCTCACTGGCTCTAAGGCCATTGTGGAAATCCAAATCAAAGAATCAAACGCACATTCCCCGTGTTGGAGACGACAGTTGCAGATTCAGACGCCTAGAGAGAAAAAGATGTTAGATTCGGTTTCACACACAAGAAAAAGGTATGACTCTTACCATAATGAATATGGGTATGTGTGTAGGGTTTCAGAAATTTCAAGTAAGCAATTAAGCAACTTTTTGGTAGAGAGGTCCCGAAGGATAACACGAAAGTGAGAGTCAAATAGAATATGGGAATGAGAAAATCCAAAGGAGGAGAGATGAGTTTTAAAGATGTGGAGGGGCAAGGGATGATAACCTTTGAAAAAAAAAAAAAAAAAAAAGAATTTAAATTTAGTCACTGACTTTCTCTTTTAGGAATTTCTCTTTTTTATCTTTTTTATTTTATTAGGAAGGCGCGGCTCAGCCACTCCCTAAATAGGTTAAGCGTTGTATTGTAATTGTAAAGCGGTAGCCCAATACAAGGGTACCGAGAAAGTACCTCATACATTTTGCGCGTAGTCGGCAAATCGTGTCCTGAAACCGGTTGTCGTTGGGGGAACAGACAAAAAAAAACCCTCACTCTATTTTTGTATATTGTACATATAATTTTCAATATACACACTTTTAATGCCTCATCAAAATAGAACATTGACTATATCAAAAGGACCTTTTTCTTTTTTTCTTTTACAGCCGAGGGGAACGCGTTAGCCTGTGAGATTGAAGTTTCAACAACCGAATTCAACGCCACTCTTTTTTACTAACTTCCATCGGGTGTCATCATCGCATCATCTAGACTTGGCCGGTCCTCGCCGAGATATCTCCTTTAATACTTTTGATTTATATTCGAAATCTACCGAACTAGCATTGTATCCGTTTCCTCTTACCTTGTATTCCGTACTCCGTACTACCTGCATAGCTCTTCTCCAGACTTTCACCTCCGCATCAACGATGTCTACAAAGCTCCCGCCACCCGAACCAGTCAAATTTCCGTGCTGACTGATAACCCTAACTGGCGCCCAATCAGCAGTCTAGCGTAATAAAACTGAAATGCAGTGACATGTGCAATCCTCCTTCTCCTGTTGGACCGATAAGATATATAAAAGTAGCTGTATTACAGGTGTGATATGTAGAGCCGAATATAGCGCAAGGCCTTCCCAGATCTGGTATCCTTATCCTGCGGCATTCTCTCCGAACTATGTAGACTCCTCTTATCCGGGAATGAGATACACATCTTCCCAACGTCAAATGGAAAGATTCATACTCAACCAGATAATACATTGGTCATGCTTCTTAGCAACCAGCGCCAGGACCCATGGACCGAGCGCATATCTGGAAATCCCGCAAGTGCATAAGGAAGGTAATTCGAGTCCAGAAGAACGAAAAAAAAGCAATGTGAATTCTAGATCGTTTTCTGCCCTATATTGTAATCTATTATACGCTTTACAATTTCTATCACGCGCGCGTCGCGAGAACGGCGATCGAAACTGTGCACCGTAAAACGCGAACGACTAAGTACTCGGTTCAGATCCCTGAGATCCTTGGAGCTATGGCCAAACAATAGCGCGAATCGTTATCGCATGGCATGTCAGCTGGCTAGAACTTCCAAAGTATCTTGTACTTTTTATACGCGCTAGATTTGTAGATGTTCCTGCAGGATAGACAGGTACCCACAGTATGTATGTACTTATCACGCGAGTCGGACCGGTATAGAGTACATCCGCTATACCTCTGTAATACCAAGGTCCGCACAAACTCCATCAACTGGAGAAGCCAGCCACGCCGCGACTAGGATCAGTCATAGTTGGGCCAGTGGGGGTAGACCGTGGCAAAAACGTTCTCGAAACCCCCGTCGATTCATCGTCAGACCAATCATATCGTTTTACTAGGACCGCCCCGACACCGGCCATGGATAAGAGAATCAAGGCAGTATTACAGGTCGACAAGGAATTTCACTTATTCATATGTGTGATTTCAATTATGTACTGTAAGAGTCAGGGTTGATTTTCTTGGTTTCTTAGGTAAGAGTCCTCCGAAGTTTATTCTTATATATGGGTTGTACAGATAAATATGCATCTCGGGAGATTTAGGTCAGGGATTCTCCAAGGAAAAGTGGCGACAAGATCTCCCCCGTATTTTTTTTTTCTCCGGCAAATGGAAGATTGGCAAAATGTCGGGAGTTTCAGGGAAAGAGTGGCTGAGGTCCCGATCTTCAGCCCTGTTTAAGATCATTTCTCCAGGTTTTGGTATAATTATAGTGCAATACCAAACCACCTAGCTTAGAGCCATATTGAATACTCCGTACATATTTACAGCTGAATAGTTTGCCTCTGGTATATTAATAGCTTGAGACATCTAGATCCGAGCTTAGTCACCGGTCCAGTCCGGGGGCTGTGCGGTGGTACGGAGTGTGTACCAGTGTACATCATTGTACATTATTGTACGGAGTAGTGTAAGGAGTACATACTATTGCAGTTTCAAAATGCAAATGAGAGATATAATTCGTGCATATAAGGAAATAATACTCCGTGTGAATCAAATATCAAACTATAGATCGACATTTCTTATCGTGGCCCCCTTATTGGCCCTTAATGCCAAGTGACAAACCACGCTGACTAGAATATCGCACATTCAAACTGATATTCGCGTAATTGCTTTCTCCTTATTTGCCGAATCAATTTAAATCAGGTCATCTGTTCCATATCCTAGGATTAGCCAAATTCTTCTAACCACATACATATTTTGAGGGTTTTATAAGGAAAACTATGCTGCTAAATGCCTCATCGGAATGTTCAAAAGCGGAACTAAAAGGCGGACATGACACATAGTTATACTTGGATCTTCAG